CCCTGTGGGCGTTCTGGATGCCGAGGGCTCACCATGCACCCTCCGCGAGTGGACACGGACATGCACCCCGGTGTGAGCAGCACCTAAGACTGTGTCCTGGCCATGTGGCTAGTGACCTGTGTGCATGTGGCCCTCGAGAGCCTGCGACGGGGAGGGGAGGGAGCCAACCCAGGGACGCAAACACCCCTCAGGCTGTGGGCAAGCCCCCAGCGAGCTGTAAATGCTAAGGCAGCAAATCAATTTTACAAAGCAATTTGTCCTCGTCTCCAGCTGGCCCCAGGAGGTTTAACCTAATCACGCCGGAACAATGTCAGAAGTTAGCTGGGATGCGCAGAGCCTGTCTTCAGAGGCGTCGTGGCCTTGCCAGGGCCTGTGGGGACCGCAGAGGCCGGGCCCAGCCAGGACAGCATGGTGAAGTCCCCAGGGCCTCTCCTGCCCACCTGTGCTTCCCCCTCCCCCTCCATCTCTTTCCCCTCCTGGAAAGAGGGGCCACATTCCCCCCCCAAAGCCCCCCCCATTGGAGTGGAGCCCCAGGGCGGGGTCTGTGGGCTGCAGGTGGTGGCACCAGCCCATTCCTCTCCAGAGGGAGGGAGTCCTGATGAAGAAATAAGGCTGATGGTGGCCTCTCAGGTGCCAGCCACGCCCAGCAGGGTCCTGTGGGCTGTTAACCATCAGCAAGGGCCACTTGCCCAGGGCCACACAGGGGTGATGGTGACACAGGCTGGGTGGTGGGGCCCTTCACTTACTGACCTGGGAGGTGTTGCACCCATTTCTGGGGTGGTGGGTGTGGGGCTCACGCGGAGGGGCCAGGAGGGTGTCTCCAGGGCACTCCACCCGCCCACCCCAGCCCCCCTCCAAGGCCTGGGCTCCAGGGAGCTGCCTGTGGCCGACGGGGAGGGAAATGGCACATGCTTTGGAGAAGCATTTTCTGTGAATGGTCCAGTCACCCTCCCTCCAGCATCAGGAGCAGTCAGGCGGAAGGCAGCCAATAGGAGAGGGGCGGCTGTCCGCCCGAGAAGGCCCCCTCCCTCCCAGGGGTGTGCGTGGGGATCCCCCTCCCCCAGGCCGCTCACCCCACCCCAGGGCTGTCCCTCCCTTTGCATCCTCAGGCATCCTTTTAAAGGGAACACTGCAGATTTAAACCACAATTAAATTTTTAATGAAGCCGCATCCCAGTAGTGCCCGACGCAATGCAATATTGATGAGCTCGCAGTGTCCGGCCGGCGGGAGCGCGCCCTGGAAAGCTTTTCAGGGTGTTATGCAACAGAAAACCAAATTAATTATTCGAAACAAAGGGCCCCGTGTCTCTGTCGTGCTGCTGGGACCCGGGGAGTGTGAACCGGTCGCCTGACATGATTGCAGCTATAAATGGCAGTCACGGGAGGAAGCCGAGACCTCACAGGCCTGGCACTACAAGTGTGTGCCTGAGGGAGGAGGCGGGAGAGGGGAGGGAGGGGCGGCCAGCCAGGGAGCACTGGGGCCTACAATCCAGATACTGCAGCAAAATGCAGCAGTTCATCGAAGCCGGCTCCAAGCTCCCCCCAAGCTCTCCGAGGCATCCCCTCACTTAAAGGGGCAGCAAGCAGGGCCAGGCACCCTAGCTGGGGTCCAGGGTGAGGCTCCCCCACCGAGGATGGCAGCCACCCCCGGACCGTCTGGGGGTGCGGAGGTGTGAGGTGGTCTGAGAATGGCCACCAGCAGGTGGGCTTGCAGGTGGCCAGGCCTCTGTCCTGCCAGCCCCCCCCTGCTGTCCCCACCTTCCAGCAGCCACCAAGGGGCTTTCCATGTGGCAGTGATGAGACCGCTGGCTGGAGCTGGGAAAAGGCCAAGCAGGGGTGTTGGGAATGTCCCCAGACTGACCTCAGGACTAAGGAAACAGAGGCCAAGGGCCAATATGGGGGCGTCAGAGGCCTGTGGAGGGGAGGTGGGGCTGCTGGGCTCGTGGGAAATCGCCCAGGGCAGCGACGAAGGCGGGGGGCAGCCTTGTCATTCACACTGAGGGTCACTGATCCCACATATGGTATAATTTGGGGTATTCTCCCCCTACCACCCTTGTTCCCACCCAGGGTCACCAGGCCAGCCTCCTATCTGGTCTCCCTGCCTCCTCTGGTGCCCACGCTGGCTCCATTCTCCGCTGACTTTCTAACATGGTCACCTGCCCCGGACCCTTCCGGAGCCCCCATTGTTCCTAGTGCGGTCTCAGCCCTTCAGGGTGACCCACAGAGGAGACCCTGTTGACCTCCACATTCACCCCTCTGCTCATCCCGGCTCTGCTATTGATATTTTCAAACGCCTGGCTGCCTCAGGGCCTTTGCACGTGCTCACCTAGAACACCTCTTGACCTGGACAACTCCCCCTCCTGCTCCAGAGCTCAGCTTAAATGTCTCTTCCTTGGGAAGGCCCTCCCTGATCCCCAGCCTCAGTCAGGGCCCTGCTGCTGTGTGCTCCCCAGATGCCCCTGTGTTAGCCAGGTTGCCCCCAGAGCAGAGCCTGAGGCTGCCTTATCTGTGAAGTGGTCCTGGAGGGACAGGGAATGCAGGGTCATTAATACAGTTGGCTGCTGCTGGGGACAACCGGTGCGCCGTCCCGTGGGACCTCCCCGGAGGCTTATGAGCTGGAAACTTTCCCGTCCATCAATTCTTCACGTCATGGGTCCAGGGTGGCCTCACCTGCATTGAACCCCCTGACACCGTGTGTGTGAGTGTGTGTGAGAGTGTGTGTGTGTGTGTGAGTGTGTGTGAGTGTGTGAGTGTGTGTGAGTGTGTGTGTGTGTGAGTATGTGTGAGTGTGTGTGTGTGTGAGTGTGAGTGTGTGTGTGTGAGTGTGAGTGTGTGTGAGTGTGTGAGTGTGTGTGAGTGTGTGTGAGTGTGTGAGTGTGAGTGTGTGAGTGTGAGTGTGTGTGTGTGTGAGTGTGCAGAGCAGATTTCTGCAGGGGCCCCAGGGCCAACACAAGGTGGGCCCCCTGGCGGCACCCGTGGGGAGCTGGCGGCAGCCCCTGCACACCTGGCCCCGAGCAGCGGCTCCAGTAACAGTTGAGCCCCAGAAGTGGTGGGTACGCTCCCCACCACAGCTCCCCGCACTGCCAGGACCCCTCGTTTGGGCCGACCTCCCCGGGTGAGGATGGGGAAGGCCCCCCAGAGTGCCCAGCCCATGGGCAGCACTGAGTAAACACCGGTTCTCGCCCTGATGGAGGTGGGACCACAGGGACCAGGAGTCAGGGAGCCATGCGCAGCTCTAAGGGCAGCGGGGACACAGGCTCCTCTCAGGGACTGAGCCCGGTGAGGCTGTCCCTGAGCTGGGCCGGGGGAGGCCAGGGCTGGCTCGGAGCAGTTCCCAGCTCTCCCGCCCTCCCCGCCTCCCCAGCACCGGGCCTGCCTGCGCGGAGCGGAAATGAAACAGGAGATGAAAATCTTCCTGGAAAGGGGGCTTTGTGACCTCCGACAGGTTCCTTCCCTCTTTGGTTGTCTTCCCAGCCGCAGGACCTGCTTCAGGTTTCTCCCCCCACCCCATCCCCACCTGTGGAGCGGGGGTCTGAGGAGGGCCCTCTCCCAGGATCTGAAGGGTTTGGACCCTGAGCCATGGCACAGGAAGAGGTGGGAGGCAGGGCCCCAAAGAGAGACAGCCCTCACCTCCTGCCACATGGGACCCACCCCTCGGAGCCCTCCCCGGACTCACCCAGTCCTGCCAACAGCACAACAAAGCCACGGTCATGATAGTGACAGACGCCACCATTGACCGTGTCCTCTCTCTGGGAGCCAGGCCTCTGCTGGGCGCCCCTCCACCCAGACCTCGAAGCTGGTGACCTCGGAGCCAAGCTGGGGACCCAGAGCTCGCAGGCTGAGCCGCTGTCCTCCCAGGAACGCCTAGCCCTGCACCCGAGGCGACACCCACCGTATTGCTATGACACTGATATTGGGGGTGGGGCTATACCCCCGCCCCCCACCCCCCAGAGCTGTCTGTGAAGCCCTGTAACGTCCTGCCCTGGGAAACCACAAGCCATTCAGGGCTTCAGCTTTGGGCCCAGCCACATTCCGTCTTGGAGAATCTTAATTTAGCTTCCAGTAGTAGACGCCAGCGTTTAAGAAAAGGGCATGAAACTGAAACTTAAAACCAAGAAAATGCTCAACATCAACTTAAAAAAAAAATTAGCTGGAAAGCTCTTACGTCTGTGTCTGGGGAGTTCCTGGCAGCACACGGCGGGTCCTGGGAGAGGGCCGTGGAACGAATGCATGAATGGGAACCCGCAGGCCGGTCTTGCATGCCTGGAATTAGCTGTGCTACTCAGGCCGAGGCATTTAAATCTAAGGAGGCTTGATTGCCCCATCTGTGAAATGGGTGCAATTAAACAATAGCACCTGCCTTGCAGGTTTCCTACACGATCGAGTGAGTTCAGGTGTGTAAAAACACCTTGTCAGACACAGGTTTTCAAAGCACTGATCCCCTCCTGTCTTCTGGTGCACTGGCAGCCCCAGGGGGCCCTGGTGTCGGCTGCTGGTACCTCTCCAGCTTCGGGTGCCCTGTAGTCTCTGTCCACTGAGGCTCCTCTGTGGCTCAGTCCCTGGAGCAGGAGGCCGGAGAGGAGCCCCGGCTCTCCCCCTCCTAGGATGAGCGATGGCAGCCAAGCACAGGCCTTGTGATAACTGTAACCCCTTGCCGGTAAATACCATTTTTATTCTGAACTTTTATGCCTCGGCTCATTCTATATTTCATGTGCCCTCTCCTGGCGTTCGGCAGATGTGAAATGGATGTGCAAGGACACAGCGGGCAGGCGGCCCCCGCGCCCACCACCTGGCCACATGCCGCTGGCTTGGAGGAGCCAAGGAGCCAACTGAGCAAATGCAAACGGGGCTCCAGGGTGGGGGCTCCAGAGCCACTCCAGAGCCTCGTGCCCACTGACTGGCTCCGCCGGCAGGAGGACAGGGAAGGGCGAGGGAGAGCATCGTGAATCGGGAGAGCCTGGTGGAGGTGCTGAGCGCGCAGGTCCCCGGCGTTGGCGTTGTCAGAGGCAGACATCAGGGATCTTAACAGAAGGGACTCTGGAATATGGGGTCGCCCTCCCCTGTACCGCCTCCCTGGTGGTCTCCCTGCTGACTGGCTATGACTCCGCCACAGCTGGAAGATGCTTCCGGAGCTCCACCAGCAGCCGGCCCTCAGGCCCCTTCAACTCAGGTCAGCTGGGGACCAGGAGTCTCAACAGGTGCTACTGAGACTGCTGAGTGCTGGGTTTGGGGACAAGTACTTGGACTTCACCGCTTTTGTCATCTCCTGGCTGTCGGATAAACACTTTGAAGGTGGCTGTCCCCACGTGAACTCGTGGTCTCTCCCTCCCTCCAGACCATCCCCTCCTCGACGGGGGGCACCACCCCCTCACCCCCACCTGGTCAAGTCCTCACACCAAGTCCTGACAATTCAGCNCTCACATCAAGTCCTGACAATTCAGCGTCCTCAGGTGTCCTCAGATCCATCTCTGTGTCCCTTGCTCCTGCCATAACCTTCATCCCACTCATCATCTCTCCAGCAGCGGCCTCTCCCAGTCCTCCTGTTCCCCCTCACATCTGCCCTCCAAGGAAGCCTCTGGGGAGGGCCCTGTGCCCCCATCCATCGTCCTCCCAGGTCCTCCCCGTGTTCTCGCAGCACCCTCCCTCTCACCCACCTCAAGGGGAGCTCTGTCCCACTCGGGTGGAAGTTCTAGACCAGCCCCCGGCTCTGGCCTTAGCCGTGGAAGGGAACAGGCCCAGGAAACACCACAGAATGCTCGAGGGCCCTGGGCCCAGCTGCGGACTCAGGCCTCCTCCTGGGTGCGTTCCCACCGCTGCGGCTGGGTGACGACACTCAGTGGGCACCACCATCCTCAGGACACTGCCCGGCCGCGTGCTCGGCCTTCTCAGCCTGCCTGCCTGCACCCCACTGGCCACACTTCCCCACGGCCCCCTCGCCTTCCCTACGGCAAGATGCTCCCTCCCAGGCTCACCTGAGGGCCTCTGAATTCTCCGTCAGTGGGGTGCTGAGCTGGCTGAAGCCGCTGCTACATTTTCAGGAGTTTGAAAGCTGATTGTTAAGCACAGCTAGTGTTAAAACATGAAGGATACAAACTTACAATAAAATTAATTATACTAAGGACCAAGGTAGACACACTCAGAACTCTCCCTACCTAATTATTTGTTACATTTTGCTATTATCTCCGTTTTTGAGGTTATTTACATCGCTGTAGTCCGCAAGGGGGGAATACCATATAGTCACCAGCCCCAGGACTCCCTCCCCACCCCCGCTGCGGTTCTGAGGTGTGGACCCGGCCAGACTGGGAGGCCGGTGTCCACAAACGAGGCTGCCCCTGCACCAGGACCTGCTGACGGGGGTGGGGGGGGGCGAGGCAGCTTGGGCTTCCTCCACTGAAGGTTTTGTTCATTCCTCTCCCGCTCCCCACCCCCAATACCGCCGGGAGAGGACTTGCAAACGCCACCAACACAGAACCTCCACCCGCCCAGGGCCTTGCGTCCAGTTAAAAGTCTTTAAAGAAGGCAGAGGGCGGTGGTGGTTGGACTCCACCTGTCGGAGCAGCGCCCGGTGCTCGGGAGTCCCACACAGCGCCTTCTGGTGGAGAGGTCGCTCGCTGGGCCGAAGGGTCCGGGCCCCTTGACCCCTGTCCCTTCCTCCTGGGCTCCGCACTTCCCTCCCAGAGACCCGGCTGCCCCTGGACACTGCCTCAGGGCCCCTCCTCCCACCCTTCCCGCGGTGCCCGAGCTCCGAGGTCCCCTCTTTTGGCGGTAAAAGCCTGTCCCGCCTTGCGCGCAGGCGGCCGCCGCGGCTGGGCACGCGAGGCCCCTCCGAGGGACCCCGTTCTGTCCACGCAGCCTGCCGGGTCCCCGCTGGGCTCCTCTCCAGCGCCCACGAGCTCTCTGCCGCTCACCCTCCCTCTCTGCCCCAATAGCCTCGCCCCCAGGGACCCGCGGGAAGGGGACCCCTAGAGACGGCATCCCCAGTCTGTTTCGGGTTGGGAGTTGGAGACAGAAGCCGTCCCACCCCTCCTGCGGGTAATTCCTCAGGAGTCGCCTG